TATGAACATAGAAGTGATTTTTAGACAGATTGTTTTTATTTTAAAGTAACTTCAATGTTCATTGAAAATAATTGAGAAAGGATACTTGAAAGATTCAGCACAAGCTGTCATCAAATTAAAGTACAGAAGCTTGTAGGTTTCCTCCTACATGCTTCCAGAAGCTTCCAAGAAGGAAAACTTTATGTTCTCTGTCAAAAATTAATCTAAAATATACTCCTCCTAAAAATATTGCTCATAGTTAAGATCAAATAAGTTCTTCAAAAGCAAAAAAAGTAAAAAAAAAAAACAACCCTGAACACATTTGAAAAACATCATGAAAACAAATAAATCAACCTCCTTAGAAGCGATTTCTGTCTTCGTATCAGCTCTCTCAAAATTCTACACCATTTTAGGGCTCTCCCACAACCAAGACAGAAACAGCAACATGTAGGTTGATTTCTCTAATATTTTATGTGACGTCTTGAACCCCTAAAAGAAACACTAACATTATCGTACTTTGAAACTATATTAAGGACTTTCTCTGGGAATTCCCTTTCAATTTTCCCATTCCAAGCAGTAGTATTTTGATGAAATTTGACTACTGTTCTTCAAAAGACTCATTTGACAAGGTAATTTCTAATTTCATGTACTGATACACAATAGCGCCATTCTCAAGAAATAAAAAAGTTGAACATTTACTTCAGTGAGGAAACTTATCAGATTTAAAAAAATGCTTGTAATAGAAAATTGCTCTTGAAATATTCAGCAGTAACCTTGCTATGTCAAATAGTTATTTCCCTCTTATTAGTAACCGAAATGACATTAATAAATAACCCAAACTGGCCTGAGAAATGGTGAGAAATATATCTGCTGATAACCCAAATATACTCAACCCTGTCAGCAGAAGGGAAGGATCCTTCTACTCAGCCTCAAATAGCACTGTTAATGGAAAAAATGTATTTCCTGTCATGCAGTTCTTACCAGCAGTGACCTACCAACCACCCAGTAAACTGCAAGTGAACAAAATACTACATATCACAGCTTTTAAGCTGAAACATACCATACTTGTGGTGGCACAGCATCTACATAGATATTCATCATTAATTAATTAAACATTAACTTCTTGGCTTTGTGTTATCACATTATCTGGTGAGTCTATCACTAAATATACAAAAGTGATGTTACCAAAAAAGTTTGTTAACCAGGTTTTGCTGTTATAAGTGTTGTGTGCTTTTAGCTGAGATTATTTCCTCACATTTCAGATAACTCCAGCTACAATCAAGTATTTAGAAACACGTCAGCCCCACTGTGTTTTTATATGAGATGTAAATGTGATGCAAGACACCTGTAGCTGGGTCGAACTGCTCCATCAGATGCTATACTGACAAGATCTGTTGTGCAAAGTAAGACCTGCTGTGTTTGCCTATAAACAGATCCCAGCTTTTGCTGCTGAGGGAAAAACACAAAACAGCTGTATTTATAAACTAGTACATCTTAATCCATGTGAACTTCCTCATTTTAATACACGATTTTAAGAACAAGATATTACGCTGCACTAAAATCACAGACTTCAGAATTATCTTCGACTGCGAAATGATTATCGTTCTTAGTTCCTAGGGTTATTTCTTAGGGTATCTTCTGAGTATCCCCAGAACCCCAGCTGATCGGAATATACTCACTCCGACTTGAGAGGACTTACATGATACTTCCCTATGCATGTGCATCATCCCTCTACACAGCTTTTCCTGCTATTGTTAAGATTTCACGGGTACTGTTAAAAAGTCCCACCATCTGCAAGGTGACTCAGCGCTGATACCTAGCAGCCCAAAAGCCCGCAGCCTCCGGCAGGATCCCCCCACAGGATCTCGCGGTCTCAGAGCGGGACGCGGGAGCGACTGAGGAGCCCCGCGGCCGCCGCCATCTTGCGGCCGGCCCCGCGCCAGGGCGGGGTGCGGGACAGTGGCCCGCGGCACCGAGGGACCCCCCGGCAGTGCCACCCCCCGCCCGCCAGGCGCTCACTTCAGAAAACCGATGTGCTCCTCCCCGTCCACGAGCACCCGAGCCCCCGCGATCCAGTCCTGGGGCTTCACCCCGGGCACTACGGCCCGGCCCTCGATCTTAAACCGCTCCCCGGGGCCCGCGCCGCCCGGCGACTCCACAGTCCCGGCCGCCTCCGAGCCCGCGGCGCCGGGGGCCAGCGATGACACGAAAAGGCAGAGCAGCACCAGCGACATGACGCCGCCCCACGCCGACATGGTTGTGACCACCACCGCCATTCAGGTGCCGGGGCGCATGCGCAGAGCGCGACACACCTCAAATCCCCGGGACAGCCAACACCAGAAGCACGGCGACAAGCTCTCTACGCGTGCGCAGCGTGCCGCGAGAATGTATTGGGTGCTGTGCGCTTGCGTATAGGAGAGTGAGGCGCCGACATTTTGCGTCACGCGGACGAGCCAATAAGAACGTGAGCTGCGCGCCCGTGATACGGAGCGAAGCGGAAGCGCGCTGCTCTCTGCCGCCGCGAGGCGCTGCATACACGCAGCCGTGTATGCATGAACGCGGGGCCGCTTCACCATACTGAGGGATAGGGGGCGGGGCATCGCCCTGCGTCGCTTCTGCAGGGAGGGGGACTGTGAGCTGGTAGCACGCGGCGTCTCAGAGCACAGGCTGGGGAAATGGCAGAGCAAGTTCCCGGTTTGTTTTTTGTTATTGTTTTTTTTTTTCCCCTCCAGCATAAGGCCATCTGCAAGTGATAACGCAGGACACGGATGTGAAATGAAAGAACATGAAAATCTGTCAATAACGTTAGCTTGAGGTGCTTTCTTAGAACCGTAGATCAACGCAGGCTGTTTCTGATGCTCCCCTGAAGCCTGCAGGCAGAGCGGCAGCACGAAATGCTGCTGATCGCTGTGAACAGGTTCAGTGCCAGGCCACGAGGGCTGTAATACCTGCCCTGCCCATTTCCCCTCCACATTATGTCCTGTCGCGTCACATGTACCTACTGTCACATACACCTGCCTCCTTAGCTGTTGCTTAACATCAGAGTTAATTACTGAACTCATTAGAAATATTACTTAACTATTAAAGCATGTTTGGAGATTATGAACATAGCCCTAGCCCTCAGCTGATAGTAAATGAAAACATTTTACTATGCCAGACACAATTCCGAAATCATGCCTCGCGCCATGAGAGTGGAATAATGTGAATGATGTCTCCATTACTATTCTTGAGCTGTGCTGTTCTATTTTGGATGGCTAGGATGAATGAGGTTATTCTGTTGCATTAAGTCACAAAAGTTGAAACACCAGCAGTTTTGGAAATGGAAACCTATGTGTTTTAAGTGTTCTATAACTGATCAGTGCTAGAAAATAGCTTCTCTGAGTTGTAGGAGTTGGTAGTCACTTTTTTTCCCACTTCGTTGATGAAGCAGATCCTTAAAATAAGATCACCAAATAGCAGCATGTTATAGGAAGCCAGAGTGCTATTTCCAGGATGACACTGGCAGAAGATAGCATTTCATACTGGCATATCACATTACTATATTTATATGGAGCTACTGGAGTAATTCTACTTAAATATCATTAAGGAGGGACGGAGATGCTCTCACATCACCGTGTTCCTGCCCCCCAGTTTTAAGGAGTTCATCAACCATAGATTTGTAAGTACTAAATACAAAGAGTCAGAAGACTTATTTTTATAATATAGACAGTACAGTTAATTAAGTTTTAAGCCTAGTGAACCCAAATAAAAGAAAACCACGTTGGTCCTTCACACTCTCTATCTAATCCAAGAATCTTCTCTACATGCCATCCAGCTAACAAACTGACACATTAGTTAGCCTCTTCTCTATTGTCCTTTCCTCCTGTAGAAACTCTCCCTGAGCTCAGATTTCAGATACATATCTTTTTTGTTTTTATACAAAGTTTCTAATAGCTGTATGGGCACAAAACTTTTATACATGTACTTAAGCAGTCTCTCTGCTCTTACTGTGGAACTTTGCATATTAGAAGCTGTACTTCATACAGATTCACTGGTTACCACATTTTGAAGCGTACACAACTGAGAAAATAACTCATTTGGTGAATTACTGCCTTTTTCATTAAGAAAATTAATTACATTAGCATTTGAATGGATTACACAATGATATTATAAGCTTTGATATCATGGGGGTGTAGGCGTCTACCTTCTAGGTAAAAATAACCAAACCCAAAAATATAGTACAAATAAAATACATGAAAATGTTCAGGTATACACTTATCAAAGCCAACTACTGTGTTTCTCAGTGCTTTATCTGGAAGGCTTTTTATATTTCTTACTGGAAGAATTTTCACTATTAGCCAGGTTCTGGCTGTAGCTTGATGTCAAGGGAACACGTAAAACTGCCAAGCAACAGTTTCAGTTTACTTTGAAGCAATGGAACCATTTCATCAGCCTTCTCAAAATGCAATCAAGAGCAACCTCCATGTTTGAGAGCTGCCTCCTCATTGAGGTGCTCACTTGACTAACAGCTACATAGAAACTGGCAAATTTCATATAGGTTCTGCCCTGCTCACAAGCACATTCTCAATTCTGTCTGATTGGGTTCATTCAACCAGCTGTCACTTTGTGCCAACCTGTCAGCCAGATGGATGAATCCCTAATGGCCTGAGCAGAGTGAAGGTCTAGACTAATGTAATGCCATCACATTGATAATACTGAAATCTGTATCTCCAGGTTCTTGTCACTTCTGGTCTTGTGTACAAATTGAAAAGCAGAGAAGACTCATTAAATCCCTCTGAACTTCCTAAATGCATCACAATGCACGAGCATCACAGCTGTTTGGAAATAATTGAGTATTCTGGGATACTGGTGAATAGAAGAAGCAAGAGAGTTTCTTCACCCAAGAGAAAAATGATTTTTATACTTAAAACTTACTTTTGTGCTGATTTTTTTTCCACAGTGTTAACACTAGAAGCTTACTGTATACAAGTTTGCTTGTAGTTCAGGATTAGCAAAGCATTTTTGTAAGTTTAAATGCAACTTTGAACATTTCAGTGCAATTGCTCTGAACACTTCTATTTATATAAAGCTGATAACACTTTGGCTAGTATTTAATTCGCTTTTGGAAATGAACAGGATGCTGTTAATTGACACTGATTTACTTTAATACACTGGACATCCACTGGACCACAGCCAGCAGCAGTCCAGAACCTGTTTCCTGTGTGATTCAGCCACATGCAGAGCTGTTGGCTGTCAGCAAACAAGAAGGGAGCAGCCATGGCCATCTTACTATAGTCTTATCATGTTCTCTGAGCCGGGCCCCCAGCTGCTGTGCAGGTATTGAGGTCATGCCCAGTATACCAGAACAGTGCCATTTCACAAAAGCTCTATGGAATCAAGGACAAAGACGTGACTGATCTGAAAAACAAATAAGAAGTTGATGTGCATCAGAACACCCACACTTACATCAGTTATACTGTCTTTTGAGGATAAAAATTGGTATTACTAAAAAAAAAAAAAAAAAAAAGAAAAACAAAAACATCACAAACCAAGCACAAGAGAATTGTGTTTATGGAAGCAGAAGGCCACAGCCAGCTAATGCATTCACTGAGCTTTCTCCTTCACAATCAGTTTTGTGTAAATAAACGCAGAAGAATTATTCTTTTTTAAAAATTCCTACCGATGTATATTGAAAAGCAGCATCATTCTGCCATCTACTGGCATTTTACAGTGCTACACCAGAAGCATTTAGCAGGAGTAGAATTCAGCAAGTGTTCATGTTGTCCCGAAGGTATGATCCCCTGAGAAGGTCCTACTTCTGGCTTCCAGCACAATTATTTCCTTTCTACTGGTAATAGGCATCTGAAAGCACAAACAGGGTAATACCTTTATACACTCTTCATAATGCTGACATTAAGATCTATTGCCAGATGACAATTTGCTTTACCTGGTTGCAATTGATTGAACTCAGACTACATCCTGTAGAAGAACAAATTTAATTAGTTTAAGTATGAGGAAAAGGCTTTGAACTTTTTTTTTTTTTGTAGGAAAAGGAACATAATTTTCATGCTGTAAAAAGTCCCACACCCTCTCCTGCAAGCAGAACAAATATGGGCATAGCATGATGGTAACAAGGAAATTGTTTTCACAAAGCTTTGAAGTGCTCATCTCCTATTTACTACAAAATGTATCCGCATCTCTCTTTTAAGCAGAATTTGTGCACGAACTGTGCAGGCAGGGTGTCTAAGAAGTACAGCAACCGCTAAGCTGGCTGCAGAAGCAGCAGCTCTGCATGGAGCAATGCTACACATGGACTCATGCCTGAGATCTGGTTTGTGTGGATACCACCTGTAATCATTCACCTACTGCTCTAATGGCACATTCTTGGGACATTTGGTTTCCAAAAATAAAAACAGTGTAAAATCCTTGCTTCTTGGAATGTGCTTTAAATGCCATGCTTCCCACCCTCCCCCCCCAACTGGAATTCCACTCACATAATGCCACAAGGCAGCCACTCCATAACACAGTGTTCTCATATCCCTTGCAGAACCATAGCTATCTATATATATTTCTTTCCTTTCTTTCCTTCAACTGTTGATAATGTAAGCACAACAAAATAGATTTTTTTTCTTTGTATTTCAATCTGAAGATATTCAAATGATTTGTGGTGTGGATTCACATCATATGGAAGGTGCAACATGGAGAGGGTCACAGGAACTTTGGTGGGATGTTCTAGCAGAAGAGGATCCTATCCAACAACCAAATAAAACATTCATTCTCATCTGCGAGGTCTCTGCTTGGGGAGATCTTGTGTCCAACATGCAAAAGGCAGCTGTAATACATACAGCCTTAAGCAGTTGCCTAATTACACTACAGTTGCTTCTGAATGCGAGGAGGAATGAAGGAGGGAAAAGATCAGAAACAACACTGAGTTAGGAGTGTAATGAAATTGCATGCTTTTTTTTTTTCCCAAGGTGGTTGTCCAAAGGCTACTAACAGTTGATTTGCACCATTTGTACGCCCACTTTTTTTTTTTTTTTTAATGTTTTTGTAGTGGGAGTTAAAAAAGTTAAGAGTCCAGCTGGAGCCAGATCAGCACTTTCTAGATGACAAATGTTCCCTTTGGTGTATCAAATACAATATATATACTGCTGCAGTATCTACTGCTAGCAAATTTGAAACCAAACTAACAATGATAGAAACAAAACCTGTACACTCACTGTATTTGACAAAGCCTTAGAAGCAAAGCTTAGCCTTCAACTCATTCTTAAAACAAACAAAGAAACCAAGCCAACACTCCAGTGGTTCTGAATTCACTTTGCTAGTTTTTGATCTCAAATGATGAATCAATTCTACAGCACCTTGTTGTTTTTTTTTTTTTGAAGCATTAGTTACTCTTACTGCTTGTCAGCTTCATTACAAGCCACAGAAGCACTTTTTCATGAACACATTCTGCCTGCTCCAGAGAAGCTGAGAATGGCAGCTCGAGGCTTTAAGTAGCCCTGCAAGCACCTTCTTTGTACAAGGCAGATAACTGATGCAGACATATACAACCTTATAGTGTACAGCTGTTATCTGAGGGAGCTTACCAGCTGCTGCCTTTCTGAAATTCAGGTCATGTAAGAGCTACAGATTGCTTTACTTTACTGCTGTATTTCACTGTACTGCGCTGTGATCCTTGTAACTGTTTTAAAGCTCTTAATGAAATAAGCAACTTTTGGTCTACGCTTACATCTTAGCCCTGGAAGTAATTTGGAGGCACTTTATGCTTCTGCTGCACAGTGAGAAAGCTAAATAAGAGTACTGTTTACGTTTCAGGTGCATTCCTATTTGTGTGGGCTGGTACACTGAGTCATGAGAGCCAATGAAGCCTCACCATGACAAGTACTGGATGCTACGTCAAAGAACTGCTCAAATGAACACTGTGCTGGATTAGAGGCATTATCTACCATTAACCAATGGCAAACAAGCTAATTTTCTATGTGCTGTTACATTGCTATGAAATGTGTTAAGCCACAGCTTCATTAAAGCAGGTTGACTGGCAGTTTTGCAAGTAGTTGTGATGTTTCCTGTGTGATTTAAATAAAGCTATGGCAGTCTCAGACAAGAGGTAAACAAGGGCCTTACCAGGTAACTTGAGCTAAATGATGCACTTTTTGATTAAAAAAATGCAAGCCTTATCATAGAAAATCCTTCCAATTGCAATATAGAATCTTGTGGCTATGAGGTTTTTACTTCTCTACAATATTTTGAGTTACATAAGACTGGGTAGTTTTTATATTCCACGTAACAGTTTGCAAATTTGGGGGAAAAAACAGTAGCATAAATCACTTTCAAATGCCCCTTCTCCCCCCCCTCCAGCTATTTGCTTTCATCATTTATAAGTGTATTTGACAACAGGCTCCTTAGGGAAGCGCTGTGTATCTGGTGAGATCCAAGGCCAATAAAGTCTCACTAGGCACACCAGAAGTAACGAATTCAATTTTGGATTTTCCTTTTAGGACTTCTATTTTAGACAAATAAAACAACAATGAACCACAGAAAACTTGGTGCAGAATTAAACATACATGTTTTTCAGGCTCAAGAGAAGGTAAAAACATCTTGAAATTAATGTGCGGTGACAGAAAATCTAGTGGTTAGTTTAGATACACATTCCCCAGCTGTGAAGGTGTGCTTTTGAATGTTGGCACACAAAAGTAGTAAGCACTAGGAAGGAGAAACAAAAAGAAATAACTGCCAGGACAACTTTGTTCATGCAAGAATTACAGGAGAATAAACTCTTTAAAACATACATTAGTAAACTGCAGGTCCAGGTCACACCTCTTTTTAGGAAAGGGGAAGGACACAGCAAACAAAAGAAATACCTCAGCGACCTTCTCATTCCTAAAAACCAGGATTTTTTTTTTTTTAAATAAATAAAATAACATGACACCTGATGAAAACAATTAGCACTAAGTGGCAGCAGCACAGGTATCTGAAGTAGAAGGTCCAGAGAGGCCATAGAGAGCTTGAGCTCAGGTGGACACTAGCATGAAGGCTTTTTACACAGCCAGATATCTGGCTGAAGAATCTCTATGACAGGGAAAAGGTGGGGAGACCAAGAAATCTGAGTGAGCCACAATTCAAGACGATTGATAATAATCTCCTGGCAAACAAAAGCACGCAGTGGCACCTCGACCTAAAAGAGGCAAATACAGGAGATAACAAAAAAATGTACTGGATGATGGACATAGCATTAGATAGAAATTCGGAATATCTACTAAGGGAAGTTCTGTCAGGAAGGAATCCTGATGAAGATTCAGCAATAGGGTCTCCTTCCTTTGCAGAATCAATTGTGTGGGTGAAGCTGTGACAGAGCTGCAAACTGACGAGCAGTAAACCTGGCAGCCATGCTGCAGCCACTCCACATACCTCACAGCCCTGGCATGGTTGACTGCTGGTAGTGCCATAAGAAAAAAGGAGAGATACGAGAGAGAGCAGATGCGGTTAAGGTACTGCCTAAGGCAGAAATTACTATTTATATTCCTACTATCTTAAACTTGAATGTGGGAGCAAAAGCTAGGGCTTGCTGGAGCCATCCAAATTAGTTCTTCCTCCTCTCACTTATGTCTCTCATTGCTGAGATAGTTAAATTCAATTACACTGCTGCAAAGCCAACACAGACAATACTTTCACTAGAAGTGCAATGCTCGTGAACACCAGGTAAGATACTACTTCATACCATTAAATTCAGTTCAAGTTCTGACTAAGATTCCAGGCCAACAGCATCTTGGAGATGCATCTCAGGGGTAAAGGAAAAAACCTGGTCTCATAAAACTATACATTTTTCATAGCTTAATTATAATTAACAGCATACTACAAAGGAACCACAGACCAATCCTTTTGTCAGAAAAAAATGTTAATGAGAATATCAAAAACTGTGGATAAACAATTCTATATGTGGAAACCTACTAAGATCGCAGTTAAGATTTGGTGACTCATGGAGAAAGAGGTCTTGTCATCTTTCACAAAGACAGAATTATTGATTCCAGAACTGCTTAATCCAAACCAGACATGAGGCTCAACTCTCATTTTCCAGACCTTACAGAAAACCATTGGCAGGCTGACCAAAGCATCAGAAATACATATCAAAGCTTGCATACAGAAATGCAAGAATACTCCTTGTTAGTCCCCAAGGTGAAGGTCAATGTTAGCAATCTGCCAGTTCTAAGAAGACAGTCCAAGGGCGTTCTCCTATTTACAGCCCTGCAGAACGAAGTGGCTGAGGTCATGCAAAAAAAACAATCAAGCAATCTAGAAAGCTGACTGCTAACTTCAGGGAACCCTCAGATGCACATTCTTATGTCTCTTTTTCAAGTGGAAAGAGGGTGGCAGCATTTATTGTCACCTGACCACAACATGACTTTATGCTGGAGATGAATGAATTCTAGCTTTTGGGTTAGTTTTTAAACATTTAGTTTTTCATAACAATGAAACATAGCACACATTGCTACTTAAAAATCAAGAGTTGAGATGGAAAGAATCCCTTCACAGACATTAAGGGACACACCACCAGGAGAGGTATGAACGCACTGCAGAAAGAAGTGAAAGAGAATTCTGCACAGTAACAACTCCATAGGCATGCTTACCCAGCAAACTGTGAAAAAGAATGCTAAACATCTTCACTACACCCATCTCTGCTAATTTTCCACAGGGTCAAACACTGAAAGGCATAAGCTCACAAAAATGAGAATTCAAGATACAAACAAGTTTAATATCCTGTACTTAGAGAGGAAGACAAGGTGAATAAAGAGCAAAAAACTCAAAACTAAACCACACACCATTGTGCAGCATGATTTTTCTCTAACAAGCCACCAGTTTGCCAATTATAAGCATTCAGAACTGTGGGCATTTTTAATCACTAGTTTTTCAAGGATCTCATTTTTTAACGCCATTTATATTCATACAAACACTCCAAATACAACAATTTTGACTTAAACCTAATAGTTGACACAGCAATTATATTAATGTGCATTATTTTGTGTTTCCAGTATTAATGTAAGGACTAAACAAAGTGGCGCCATTCACATATTTATCATCAGAAGTACAAGCATTGTACTTCTTTATTCCCTATATTTTTACAGTCAAATGGCCCTAAGTTGGTTTGATTTACAGTAAGAAGCAGGAAGGCTCAAAATACAAGACATCACTTGGGAAACAAGGCATACCAAACATGAAGGCATTTAGTTTTCACTTGGATAGGTGACAAGGTTGATGTGGAGCTGGGAACTCTGCCAAGCAGATGTGCTCCAACATGTCAGTGGGGTGGAAGAGCAGCAAGTGGGAAGAAACGAGACTGCTCTGCGTGCACCAAGTCTCCAAAGCTTCCCTCTTCGAGTACCTCACTGTAATGGAATTAGTCACACAGGACTAGAAACACTTCCTACATCAAAGCTGAATCTTCCACTAGCACAGGCACCCTTGTCAGGTACACAGAATTTCTGTAATGTGTTTAAAACCAAACAGGCCCCTACTCTGAGGGCAGTACACGCTTTTAGCAGAACCCCTAGCAGCACTGCTCCATTGCCCAAATAGCAGATTAATGGGCAGGGCAACTAACTGCCCAGCTTATTTTTAATGCTAGTATTTGCTGTTGGCATAGAATTACTCCAGAAATAACTCTTGAACAATAGTTACCAACTTCAGTCAATTAAGAAGTCAGGCTTTTAGACTTCGAGTAAAAGACAGGGAATACAACCTGTCAGTTACTGTTCAGTGCTGCTTTAGTTTACTACTTTGTTAACACCGGCAAGAATCTTGTAACATTCAAAATAAAATCTGGTCACTGCTTGTACAATGAAACCAATGCCTGTCATCACTTATAATTCCTTGACAACATTATTTACTTTTCTCCTCCAGCTGGAGCATTAGGTGGCACACAGTTACACTAATGGAAATCAAGATTTTTGCCTCCTCCTTTTCAGTCAGAAACTTAATGCTATTTTAAACAAACACAACACCTAAGCCTACTGGCTTCCAGACAAAGACCTATACTGGCTATAGACAAAGTACTATAAGCAGAGATAAAAAGAAATAAGTTATCTGCACTCTCCAAATAAGACATGCAAGTTGCTCCTTCCTGTGTTTACTGAAGAAGTTCTATCAGCAAAGAAGTAGCTTTTGGTTTCTTAGCACCAGGAGTTAAGACTTCAGCCTTCCAGTACCATCTTTCTAGACCAAAGACCAAATATGAAACAGCAAATTCACATGTGGTAACACAACTTGACAGTGACACAATAGAGCAAGTTGTTAGGAAAAAGTGTATCTATGCAACTTCTTTATTTGAATCCAAGCATTTCCCTGGAAGTAGCAATCCTCCTCTAGCCTCCTCCAAAAATTTCCCTTACAGAAAATATTTAGATATATTTAGAAATATGCAGAGGAGATAAGCTTGTTTAAAACAACAGAGCAACATGACTAAAGCCTGTTACCACAAAATATTGACTATTTTTCTGATGCCAAGATATTTATTAAACTATTTGACTACAGCTTTCAATCCATGGAGTATCTGATAACAATTGCAAGAGCCAAACAGTTCTGACTTTTTGAAAACAAAGCTACACTGATGAACTACAACTTGAAAAAGAACCATCTACCTAAATTACAAGAGATATTTGAAACAGTTTACAGCTCACATTAAAGTATGATGCTAGGGTGTGTATTTATTCCAACACACCCACCATAGCAGGCCGCTTTGCAATGTAATACTATTTTGATATTTAGTAGTTTCACAATACATACAGTGCTCAAAAAAAAGTAACAATCAAAATGGTTGCTATCTCTGTAAAATATATTAGCTTTGTTTCTTTCAAGTCAAGCACATAGAGAACAGTCTCCTTCCAAAATTAACAAAACATTATTGGCGTAAATGTCTTACTTTATGTATTCATAAGAGTAGTTTTATTGTTTGTATTTTGGGGACTAGCACTTCCTGAAGAAAATTTAAAAGGCTTTAGTAGTAAGGAGTGAAAAAAATAGAACTGCTGGAAAACAAAAACTGCTTTCTTGCATCTTGTTACAGTAACATACAAATGTTGAAATGGGGCAACTGACTATTGGTGTCTGTTTACCCCACATCGCTCCAGGTAAAGATTGAATTAAAGCAGGGATCTGTGTCAATCAGAAACGTGCCACGTTTAACTTGAAAGCAACACACCTCATTTTGAGGTCACCATTTATACTGTTGTAATCTACATGCACTACAAAACTCTCACCATTATGGAAGCAAAAATGCTGTAGGCCTCCAATAGTTCAAGTCTGTGTGGTCATTTCTACCTTAAAAGACAGTACCATAGCCCTGTCCCCATATTACAGGTTGGTATCAGAGTACAACTTAGTCCTTCGTGGGGAAAAAAAAGATGACTACCCTGCAGTTATGGTTATTTAGAGTAAAAAAAAAAAAAAAAGTTCAGACTCAAGCATATAGCCATGGATGTCCATTTCCATTAGCAGATATTAATAAAATTTGTGTTGAAAGTTTAAGAGAAAAAATTTTAACAATAGCTTTCAAATTGTCTTACCTTTATTTTGTCAACTTTCACTCTTCCTCAACTCAACAGCAGGTACTCACAGTATGTTTAGACTACAAAGAGTAAGAAATAACGTTATTAAATGCTGAAAAATGAATGTATGGGGGAAATACCTGGAGACAAATACTTGCATTTAGTCTCATTCCAAGGCAGAAAACAAAACAATTAACAGGGAATTAAAATAATGGATTAAAGCACACTCACATTATTCTCTCAGCAATTCTTTAGCTGTAGCCTACAGTTACTATCATATATAGGAAGGTAGACTGAAGACAGATATTAAACTATGTCTGATATTTACACAGGCTATTAAGAGCTGCTTTTTTTTTTTTTTTTTCCTCCTCTAATGGAACATCAGTTCAGTATAAGCTTCCCATGCAAGAACCAAGTGCCTTCATAAATTGAAGAATTCATACTGTTCAAAGGTTGGAATAACTTCATACCAGTAGCATGATTTGCATTGCTCTGTACTTTCAAATAGCTGCCTAAGCCATATGACTGTTTGCACCAGAAGACTGGAGACAAAATACAGCTGCAGATCTCCATATAGTCTTCTGTAATAATGGAAGACCTATCAAGATGAACATTGTAAAGCAGCTATATTTAAGTTGCAAGATGAATCTTTCTTATGCAAAACTTCTTACATACAAGAACATCCACTTCTTCAAGAAAGGAAAAAATGAACCCTGATACTAGCATGTCTTCAAAAAACTCATTGCTCGTCAATGCAATGCATAAAGTACAAGATGTGCCTACTTCAGACACCAGAAAACACAAGTTACTTTAGATACACAAAATAATGGGACTGATGTCACAGTTGAGGACATGGAGTGATGTTTTGGGTTTTTTTTTGGCCTTGCCTATTCTTTCACCTCTCCTGCTCCCAAGACACTAAAAACTGCAGCCTCTGATAACAATAAGGCAGCCTTAAGATGACTTAAACTATGTCTCCCTCCAGAAGATAAGCTCCTGGAAAGTGAATGCTCATTTTTTTTAATACCACTAACTACTTGTCAGCATTACTATATAGCCTGGAACTGTAGCACCTACCTGTGATAGGGTGTTCCACTGCAGAATACTCTTTACTAAGAAAGAGGTGCGATTCCTTCCAAATGGAGTTGCACATGATGGTTAGGTCATGCTAGCTTCTTCATATCCAGCTCATGAATGGGGAAGCTTTTTCAGCCTCCATTCTTCAGCACTGCCTATACTCTGGCAGCTACATTATACTTATTTTTTATAAATATTTACCTAATATGAAAACATTTTAAATTTGAGCCAATTTCCTAGAAAGCTTCTGTAACTTCAGTTTAAGGGAAGGGGGAATTCTAGTTCACTCTTCAAGTAAAAGCCTTCTGAACATATAAGATCATTTTAAATAAGGCACAGATACTAATGACTTCAAGTTTAATATTGTATTATTGATACTGTCAAAATACAACTTTTGGCAGTTAAAAAATAATGCATTATTTTATTACTCATCAATAATAATCCTAAAGACAATCTTATCTTGACATTTAAAAAAAGCACCATCCATGGTTATATATTATTAAATCCATGGCCATACGGTACAATTCAGTTTAAGACTACATGTTCATACCTATTATTGAGCTGAGTTTTTGAACAGTAAAGTATTTCATTTTAGTGATTACTTCTTGTAGTATCCAAATTATATGGCCATGAATTTTTTCACCTTATTTATTTAAAAAAAAAAAAACAGGAAAAATTAAAAACTGAGTTTCCACCACCTTTACAGTACGCTCCTTGAGGAGCCATCTAAGAGCTCCAGCAGTTACTTTCCAAGCCTTTGTTAGCTTTATATATCAGTGCTCTAAAGAACAATAAAGAAAATAACGTTACTGAATTGTAGTTCAATTTTTTTTTTACTAGACAGAAAAAACATTCTGAGAAACACTAAGTTCTGCCTCGAAAATCTTTGTGGTGTGAAATATCTCTAGTTATACATAATTCCAGCTATGTTGTGCTATGTATATCGCAGGAGATTGTCCCAGTGAAAGCTGTAATCTTGGGATGTCTCAAACATTCTTCCATGTAGCTGATAGCCTGTAGCACAATACATTTGATAGTTTGAAGAATATTCTAATAACCAAAGAGCACCAAGTTCTGATGATCAATTTCTAACTGGTCTTCAGAAATCGGCAATAATGATGCATAAATAAAATACAAACTACAAATGAAGTAACAGGAGGCCTAAAGCTGTTGACCACTACTTGAGTTTAAATCTCATCTGTAAGGTATCTGAGATATCTGTAAGATATCTGTTTCATCTGTAAAGTAAAAAAAAAAAACAAACAACAAAACAAAACACACTAGTCTTTTTGCCTGACATTTCAGTAAAAGTGCATTCATTTTATGCTAGACATGAAAATAACCTTTCCAAGTACTTTATCATTCTTCTTTTCATTTTTTAGAAAACAGATTTGGTGTTATATTTCTGTTTAAGTGAAAAACTGGCACTTTATATGCTTCAATTGGAAAAGCATGCTTCCTAACCAGAAGATAAAAACATAGAAACAAGACTAAAAATCAAAACTCCCTCAGAGCTGCGACTGTATAGCTTTTAAATTAAAATAGCAAAGAACAATGGTAGAAGAGTAAAAGTTGATAGTCTTTTCAATGTTTGTGTTTGGGTTTTTTTTTCCAGTTTAAAGTAGTACTAATTTGACAGCATTAAATCAGGTTAGTCATTGATTTTGCAAAGCTATCTGCCATTTCCTTAAAGGAGGTAGAATATGAAGGATGTGACGAGTAACAATGGCCTTGTCTGGCTGTAAACATTTCACAAATAATAGATATAAATATCTACAATAGAAAGTACTGTGGAAGAAGTTGTTCTAGAAATTATTTTTATGAACTTGAGAAGAAAACAGTAGATACATTTAATATATTTACTTACTTGCATGTAGTTTAAGTGATACAGAACAAGATATCATGTTAGAAATCCACATACAATATAAAAAAAATTTGTTTGGTATATTCACCATTCTGCTCACATTTGTAATAACTGCTTATCCAAGCTTAAGTTCAGGTATTCATATTATTTTTCTTACATTAATTTTTATATATGTGCAATGTTTCAAGAACAACTACACAATGTGAAACCCTGACTTCTGTAGCACTTTTTCATCACAGTCTGAACATACAATAGCTACTTACATCTCAACATATTGGCTTTTTCAAACACTAGTAATTAAGGCATTTTTGTTGTATACTTTTTCAATAGTGCAAACAAAAACTGTCTTTAGTTTCAATTAAAACAAAGAAATAATTGAATATTTCAGAGTTGTCTTTAATATAGTTGGAAGATAGCTGTGCATTTTGGAGTCCTTGTGAATGAACACTAAAAGCTCTTAATGCCGATTGCTCGTGTTGGTTCTTTGTTACTGTCAGTCAGACAAGACAGCAGAACCACTTGAATTCATCTTTTTATGCAACACTGTAGGAAAACAGTGAATACCTAGTAATTGAATGAATCCCAAATGCAGCAAAGGCATACAGTTTTCATAGTGCAGTTTCACCTCACTGAAGTAAAAGTTGCTCCTACTAGACATTTTTCCACTTCAATGTGAAGTAGATTGTTAGGATTTCGTTAGTGGTTTCATTAAACAGCTTGACAGTTCAGTTCTCTTCCACCAATATTTTTCAGAAGGCTTTCAGAAATAGTACGTATTTCAGGAACATTTTAAAGGATTGTTTCACCACATAAGCGCATCATTTCTCAGTCGTGTCAGCACAGTTGTAATAAATAAGCATTTACATCCTAGAAGAAAAAAAAAAGACAATGTTTGTCATATTACCTACTCTTGTAATACCAACTGTAGGTCTGAGAATAGGTTACTCAATCAGGACCGTAATATAAGAATTACAATTAGGGCAAATTTCAGAATATCCACATGTTCAGGACTGTTTTTTTTTCTCATTTTTTCAAAAACAATTTTTAATGCTATGCTTACGAGCACAGTGGTGCTAATTGTCTAAAGCCATCAACTTAGCATTTCTTTGCTCACTTCACAAACACCAATGGCAGGATACAAAACTATATTTCATAGACATAATCTCACTAAATGATGATGTTTAAGAGTCATTGTTACCCACCCTACACCCCTTCAACATTCTTATACTATTCCTTTGCTCCTCACTTGCGCCCTTGGTCACACACATCCTGGAGAACCTTAAGGAGGCAAACGAACAGAAAGAAGGAAAAACTGATGCTAGCACTAACTGCTACACTGATCCATCAGAAGAACTGGGCAATCTATATTACAAGCTACCACTGCTCTACCAGTGGAGAGTTAGTTGATTCTTCTGAATATCAACTATCTGAGACTCTGTAAGAAGCCTGTAATTAGCCCTGTAGAGATGTCAAAATTCCAGACAGGGAAACAGAGCAGTCCCAGGAGGGTAAGAAACTTATTTGCTCGATTCACCAATGCAACAAATTCTATGTGACTACATACTGTAAGATTCTGAGTAGTTGTAGATCCAACAAAGTTCCTACACATATAAATAGAGCAGGCAATCACTAAATTCTTTTCAAGTTTACTCTAAATGGCTGCTTTATGTTCTGGTTCATTCCCTGCCTTTCTCAGGTCATGCCAGTGGGAGGAAGGTTTCCTCCTCAGTGTAAGCTTTGGTGCCCAGCCTCAGAAAACTACCTTTAGAGAGATGAGTAACACACACAGCAAATCATGTATTAATCAGACATCACGCATAGTATTGATACTGTAAGTATGCCAAAAAGGGCACAGAGGTCCTTCACTTCAGATGGAGCTGCTCTTCTGCCCTCCACAAAATTACTAATTTTTCAGCATTAGGCCAGAAAAAAGATTTAGAATTCAGCATGTTGTCACTTGTCCTGGTCACTTAACATGCAAATGCTAACACCACTTGCCAGAGTGAGAATCTGCTGCATCACACACAGATGAGGTACAGCAAATTTTAAAGAAAACACCTGTGCTTCACAGTCTACTTACTTATCTGAACCCCTTTTTTTGAACATTCTAAGGTTTATTACTATTTACTATTTTATTAAATGTCATTAAGGAGATACTTTATAAAGGTTAGAAAAGATAAAAATTCATCAGCATCCTAAACCGCAATACTAGAATTTCAGACTAAGGACTGTGCAATATACTTGAGCATTGGTGAAACATACTCTAACAGCTGATACAGTTCTAGCCTTTAATAGTTTAGAGTAAATAGCATCCAGTAAGAGGAAAACTACATGTATAAATGGCATAACTATACTTATTACTGAACAACTGTAACTGGATTACCTTTGCTATATTACCAGTATATCCTGGAACCAGAGTAAGATGATTTTCTTGTTCCCATAATTCACTTAATTGTTGTTTTAAAATAACCATATTTCTGAAAAACAACCAATAATAGTTTTTAACATGTATACTACAGTTTCCCAGACTTTGATTGAAACAGGTGTTTCATACTGTATATCGCTTTAGTCTTAATATTACCATAAACTCAGATCAATATTTTTTCCGCAGCACTTAATATCCCAATAATTATATTCTTTATTTACTAGAAGTTAAAAGCAAAAGAAATACAAGAATGATATAATCTTTCAAGCAAATTTCCAAACACCACCTGTGACTTGACAATTAAAGAACTTAAATGCTTTTAAGCTTCTACTTTCAAATTGTAAGCATCAATTTTTCCTTTGTATAAAAAGGTGCGCTCCTGTTGATCAGCATTAATAGGGTTTTTGAGATGAAATCAGCTACAGAAACATTTAAATGTTTTCAAACACTATACTCACCCATCCTCTGCCCTCTCTTTATGCGCAGATAGTTCTGACCACCATCTTTTAATTACAGCTTGAAGCCAGTTTAGACCAACTATCACATATCTGCAATAACATTTTATACAATTCAAATATCCACAAGTCAGCCAATACTTTCATACAAGCACGAATGCAATTTAGAAAGCCACACATTTGCTGGTTTGGAACAGACAGAATTACACAAATTCTCAATTTTAGGCAATTGCCCATGTTCTCATTTTTTTTAAGTTGTAAACTAAAGTACTTCTTCAAAAGTAGTAAGAGATTATTTATGTTATACCTGAAAGTTTAATTGATCTTATGTTAAAGAACATGCTGAAACCTTGCTGCCATTGTGCTTCACTGTTTAGAATGATATACCTACACGAAGCCAAAAACTAACTCCCCCATGGTTGCTTAACCCTGCAGAACTTTTGTTTGTTTGTTTAAAATTAAACCCCTGAATGCTATTAAAAACAATATGAAGGCTTATACGGAAGCTCCTTTAGGTAGGTGCTTCCCCAAGAAAGGCAGGGCTGGTGGGAAGGAAGATGAGTCAGAGGACCAAGCATCTTTAAACACATGGATACCACATAGCCAGGAAGGAATGGCATTTAGACATCTGAAATTGATACTTACTCTTCATATTTGCTTTTAAGTAGTGATTTCACTAAAGGCAAAAGATCTACACAGCAGCCAACTGAAATATATGGTTTTTCTTCCTGTAAACTTAAAAAACAAGATGTTTCAGAAGTGCCAGAAATTCTCTGTGGGCATAGTACATTCGCATGTCCCACTTCCTGTTTGTACCTGTTTGTAAGCATAGGAAGGCAGTCTACTACAACTCCAAGATCTTGTATCCTAGAAACATGGAAGATAAAATAAGTGTCACTAGTTAAGCACAGGTTGAACTATGTTTCCATTAATAAGTAATTATTGATAATTTACAAGATTTAAGGAAATCCTAAAAGACTGCATCATATTTGGTTTTGCTACCACTTTAAGAACATAAAGGAAGAGAAAATCAAGTTTACCTCAATAGGTAGGCTACCAGTTCACCTATACTTCTCCTTCTCCAAAAGGTTAAAGCGACATTCAGCCTCAGATTCCTGCTGAAAAGAACTTGAGCCATAGTTTCATGGTCCTGAGAAACCTGTATGTTTTTAAGAATACAGAAGTTGACAGCAAGGTAAGTAGTCAGCAGTGACACAATAAGCTGCTTCAGTATGGCAATGCTGGAGTACATGAAAATATATTTTACCACCTGTATGATTAATAGAAGTTTTCTTAATAGTAGCCTTAGAGCATGAATCACCCTTGGAAGAAGGCACCAACAGACTTTCTACTATACCTAAAATCTGCAAGAATAAGGTCTGCAAACACTTGAATAGAGATATCTAATAATTACAGCACTTACTCATAGGCATTAACCTATAAGTCTCAACAACTTTGAGAAGCGCTTATTTAAATACTTATCCATTTGAAAGTATTTCATACAAGCCAGCAGCATGAGTTTGCAGCCCAGAAAGTCCATCGCATCACCTGCTCTGCATCAAAGGAAGCATGACCAGCAGTTTAAGGGAGATGATCGGTCCCCTCTACTCTGCTCTTCTGACACCTAATTTGCAGTACTGCATCCAGCACTGGGACTCTTTGTGTAATAGCAACACAGAGCTGATGGAGCAGATTCAGAGGAAGGCAGTGAAGGTGATCGAAGGGCTGAAACCTCTTTCCCAATAAGACAGGCTGGGGGAATTTTGACTGATTAGGAGAAGAGGAGGCTTTGGGGAAACCTTAAGTACTAGAAGGCCAATGTAAAGAGAGCCTACAAGAAAGATGTAGAGAGACTTGATCAAGTAGTATAGTGATAGGACAAGTTCTTTAGAGTTCTTTACAGAGAGAGTGGTGAGGTGCTGGAACAGGCTGCCTAGAGAGGTTGTGGATGCCACGTCCCTGGAGGTGTTCAACGCCAGGTTGGATGGGGCCTTACGCAGCCTGGTCTGGTATTAAATGTGGAGGTTGGTGGCCCTGCGTGGCCCATGTGGTAGGGGGGTTGGAGATTCGTGATCTTTGAGGTCCCTTCCAACCCTGGCCATTCTGCGATTCTGTGACAAGGTGCTAATGGTTTTTTGTTTTTTGTTTTTTAAGTAGAAGGATAGGTTTAGGTTAGATATTTGGAAGAAATTCTTTAATATGAGGGTGGTAAAGCATTGGAACAAATTGCCCAGAGAAGTTGTGGATATCCCATCCCTGAAGGTGCTTGAAGCCTGGATGGATGGGGCTTTGGGCAATTTGATTTAAGGAAAGGTGTCTGACTATAGCAGGGCTGTTGAGAACAGAGGATCTTTAAGGTCCCTTCCAGCTCAAACCATTCTATGATCCCACAATTTTTTTTATCCTTCTCCATCACACAGCCTCTCCATTCTAGCTTACTTTCCACTCACTCATTGAAGCCATTAGTTTAAATGGTGTTTAAAGGTACCACCAACTTGGCACCTCCAGAGCACTCTCTTCATGGAACTGTAGGTAGAAGCTGCCATGAAGAGACAGTATGGCGACAGTCTTACTTGTCATGCTTTCTGCCATGACTCACTTTGTTACCTAGTGAGGCCTGTAGGTGTTCAAAACAGCTACACTGAAAGAAAGGAAAACCTCAACAGAAAAGGACTGAGAAAGCTCTGTCACAAAACACATTTATTTCATATCCATCTGATGTTGTAGCCAGTTACAAAAGCTCTGCAACCATTTGAGTTTCCTTAAGTAATCTCTGTAAGAACAATCTTTTACAATCATTTAAGTTGTTTTCATGGTCACCAAGCTAACATTATTAAAAAAAAAACCCATCCAATCTCACCAGCTTATTCCTATCCATACACTAACACCTTCAAAAACAAATGAGGCCATGCATCTTAAGTCATGAAATCTAACCCAGCCAAAACAATATTTTTCACTTGATGCTGGTATGATCTGAAATTAGACTAGAATGTCAGATCTAAGTTTGTGCTGATAAAGTGGCAGAACTACTACTGTTGGCAACTGAATCAGTCTACTGAGGAATAAGACTGCAAATCACAAACTGAGACAATCTGAATGTTAAGAAAACTAATCTACTCAAAAAACTATTCAAAACTAACAAGAATGCTTACACTGAACTCAGATTTCTTTTAAGCTCAACTTACCTCTGAAAAAAATGCACTGTATTTGGAAGAGGGGCCTTCTGTTTGAGATGAGCCAGAGTCACTAGAATTCAGCAAGTGTGTACGACCGTCATTCAGTTTTGCTGGCAGATTCCCTGCACAAGCCAGTTCATTTTCTTTATTTGCCATGTTACAGCCCCTTGATTTAGGGAACTGTTTCTTCTTATAACAAGGCTTTGCAGTATAACAATGGACTTTTCTTTTACAATGTACTGCTTTGAAGAGAGATAGGGGACTGGTCACTGTTTTTCCAACTGTTATTCTGCAAAAATACAGGAGTATTTTAGTAAAGGTAATCCTATACGTAAGTCAACACTTTGTATTAAGGTAAAATATATCATTATGAATTCAACAGTAAACTTAGGCTACTTCAGCATTTCACCATCAGTACATAGCCTCATGACAACTGGGTTATCAGAAATAAAACCTACCACTAATACTGTTTTCCTGCTTTTTAAAAAAAAAAAATTAACTCATTATCATAGAAATGGACAACTATAAGCACTGCCAGTACAGTTATGATTTCTCATTGTGACAATTTGGGTGTTGTAATAAATTCGAATTGCTTCTTCCTCCCTGCTTGACTCCCTCCTGAAACTTCAGACTCTAAACAGCAAGACCCTCCTACCTGTTTGTGTATGAAGCCAGCTGTTTTGGAGATTTCTTATCCTGGGAGAAAGGGAACAAAGGAGGACAGGCTATTACTAAAAAGACACAAACAGCATCACTGCTTTATCATGGACTAAATTTGCCACGGATTCCCTCCCAGCCACCTTTTCTATTCTGTTTGAAGCACAGCTACACTAACATTTCTATAAATTATTTCACAGTGGTAAGTAGACATACAGCTGTCCTTGCAACACCACAGTCAACTAAAGGTTTGCAAAGTCTTTGGAAGAGGTAGGACTGTAACATCAGAGACTGACAAAGAACTAAAAACTGTGACTAGTATAAAAAAAGCTTCTGGAATTTGATGGTGAAGTTACATTACCTGTCTCTCATATACATCTAATGGCCAACAATATAACAGATTAGCAGGTGCTAGGAAAGATGGCAGCAGAAAATATTTCTTCAAAGCACAACAAAAAAAACGAAGGCTGATGTAGGTAGAACTAGCTTGATTATCCTAGATTCACCAACAGGAAACATAAGCACCCTGATACCAATTAGGCTGCACAGAATGTTAATAATCTGAAGGACTAAGAAAATTCATTCAAGTTATGCCATACAGATTCATAAAACCGTTGAAAATTAAGCAACAGCTTGAACTTGAATTTCTAAATGTTTATAGTAAACTTCAATGTCTTAAGAACTATTTCTCCTACCCCACCTCTCAGATTTGCTGTCTCTTAACAAAGGAAAACTTTTTGACAATTGAATTCCTAACCTAGAACTTTTTCTGATAAGATTGCAGGAAAGAAGATGAACAGAACCAAATTGCTATCTGCTGCTCATATGGACAACATGATACATCTGTGTCATCCCTGTGTGCCTATAACAATATTTCTCATGATATAATTGCTGTTCTGTTCTACATCTAAATACAAAGCATACTCAACACCGCTATGTCTCCAGTTCTAGATTGTGCAAAGCTATAAACTTTTATTTGAATATTAACTTCAGCTTCACTGGAAGACAGAAATACCTTACCTCCTTCATGATCTTTTTAGTGGAAGAAGAGATTCTTTTTCTGGGGAGATCAACAGGACAACCTTCAATATGCAGTACTTTCTGTTTTTTAGCATTGTGAGCCTCAGATGCCATAATCTCTCAAATCCCTATTTTCAAGGGAAAGATTAACTCAAGTCATATTTTGTAAAACAGCCAGCTTTCTTCAAATGCAACTAGCAACTACAGTTCAAACAGTTCAAATACTTGCAAGATATTCGATTATATAAACAAATCAATTCATTACCGTTCAGCAACATTAGCTGGAAGCCTTGTTAGTACCTCTCTGATAAGCACTTCAGAATTCCCACCTTTAGCTCCCCACCAAAAGCAAAAAATCCCTCTTCGCCATCCCCAAGATACACGAATCTTGTTTACAGATCAGTTCAGTACACCTGCACTCTAGGATACCATACACGCAGGAATTCATGTAAAATATAAGACAAATTACTCGAGAATTCTCCTTCAAGTCTATTTCATCTGCTATCTAAAGAAATATAGTTGCTCTCAACTGTTTCCAAATGAGGAAAGACAGGAAAATAAAAATACTTCATATTTTTCAGGAACGAGGCAAGCTTAATCAGAATAAAAAAATGCCTTAGATATCTCCCCTTACCTGGTTGGCAATTCCCTCCCACAACTTCTCCTCAGTATAACACCTGGGTATTACTACTTGTAAAGAAAAAATTTCTATTTTGCAGATGACCTGTATGTATATACAGGCAAGTGGTTTTCTGTAGCACTCCAGAAGAACAGGGAGGACCAACTGCCACTGAAGCGAAATCCCACAGAATCAGTCTGTCAGAACCAAGAAGGTCCTTAACTTCAGTTCCTAAATAATCATTTCTGACTATTGCTGTGACAATGACAGCTTGTAACCATGCAGAGCAGCAGCTTCTTATTTGCCTGTTTAATAAATTATCTCATATTCCCTCCTCTTTCATACAAAGAAAAAAGTTGATTCCTAATGTACAAAACAACAGTATTAAACTGAAATGCATTCGAATTAAGAGTGGAAAACAGCATAAGGTGAGAAAAATGTCTTAACAAGGAATCCTGGGTTAGTATCTGTTTCAGTATGTGAGTCATTTTCTTAAGGTTGAGTCAAAATATCTGCACTAGAAAGGTAAGTTTTCTACATAAAACTTGATGATGCCCTAAAGAGATAAGTGAAAAGGATTACACACTGATAAAATACGATGAGAGAGCATGAAGCCTCCAGCTGAAACAGGAAAAGAATGTAAAATTACAGACTCCCTCTTTAGAGGCCAGGAACAGAAATCCCAAAAGGCCCAATTGATGATCAGATACAAAGGAATGTTTAGTGAACTAAAATATCCTTACATCTGTGCTCACTGTCCTACAGTTTAGGGTGTTGGTTTTGTTGGGGGTATCTAAAGACAAAGCAGCAGCAACGAACATGAGCAAAGCAAACAGCATCAGACCCATAGAAATGGATGGCATACATCCAAAAGCCATATGAATTTAGGAAGAAATAGATGTGTTATTAAAAGAGGTACAGAACCTCTCCTGTAGAGCTGCTAGGGTGCCAAAAGGAAAATACAGTCAGTATTTAAAGATGGCCTTAAGGAAGGTTCAGTGACATCTCTGTTGCACAAATTGGTAAACAATGCAATTAAGAATAGAATTAGTAGATACAAATAATGTCTTGGGAAAGAGTCAACCTCACTGAGTCTTGCTTTGAAGAATTAATGGCATTCTCCAAGCCTGTGATGCACACTCACAGAAAGTAGTGCAGTATGGGATATAGGAGAGCTGAAGGACAGATCAGACCCGGGATTCCAAAAAAGCTTCCTGAAGTCCTTCACTGAGGTCTCTTGAGAAATTAAGCAATTCATTGATGAGAGAAAGTTTCTGCATGGAGAAATACCTAACAGCAATAAGCGATATAAGCAGCTCCCACAGCGAACACTGCTGGAAATCTGCAGAAAAACTGTGCAGTTGGAAATATTTGTACAGTACCTCATGAAGGGATAAATGAAGGCTGCTGGCAATACCAGGTTATACCAGAAATTAAAGATGAGGGTTAACTGACAAATTAAAGAACAGTGATGAACAATAAGCAGAAACAAAGATTAGGGGTGAACGTAGAGCAAAGCATCTATGTCTGCAGGTGTAAAGAAATTCTGGGTTCACAAACAGAATTATAGGCTGTGAGCTAATAACTATCACCCACATTAAGATCTGAATATATGACAGTTTGCTTTAGATCACTCAGACTGCTCAGCGTTCCATAAGGATCACTGATCAGCAATTACAAATCCGTACGCAGGGGAAATCAGAGGGGCTTTACAGGAAATTGAAGCAGTCAAGAGAACTATCAGGTATATTCTAGAACAGTCAGACGCTGCCATCCCCTGCTATTTTTTGATACATACGGAGAATTTTTAAAAAGGCATATATTTTTTTTAATATCAGGTCACACAACTTATACATCAACTTCTTGAGTTTTTGACAATTCCATCATCATGAGTGCAGCTAGCTATATTTGTTCCAAACAGCCTAGTACATTATTTCTTAAGGCTAATGCAACTCCTCTGCTTCACATGACTGAAAAAATAAGGATAAAATGAAGTCTCTTCAGCCTTAGTCCTTTAACATACAAGCTTAAACTGCTCTGCAGCACACTTTGTGACAACTGTAAATCAGAACAGAAACGCACAAGTTCATCATGCTGACAGACTCCCATTCCATCCATTTTCTCCCTTTAACGGAGGGCTTTTCTAAGCAGATAACAATCCTTCCTCCCCTCTCTCTCCTCAGTTTTCAGGAAACAGAATGACCAGCATAACAGCAACCACATGTAATGGGAAGTCAGGTTACCCTTAACTAATCACTAGATGTTACCTTGGCAGAGTTCTCCTAGCAGCTCTAATACTGTGCTAATTATTTAAATAAATATCCCCCACAAAACTCTGATCTAACCCAGATGCAATACACCTCTAGAATCACACCGTACTTGCACGAAGGAAGGCAGCACTAAATGGCTTCCAAGTGCATAGCTGTCAAAGACAAGTATTAACAAACACTGCCACTCCCTCCCATCCGCTGACATTCTGGGCATGGCCCCCAGAAGGGGACAAACTTTTCTGTGCATGTTTTAACATAACAGATATCTTACAGTGCACAGACTTGAGTACTTTGCAGACAGCAAAACAAACGTGAAAGTTTTGTTTCAGTCATCTGCAACAGCCTCTAAAAGAATCATTCGTCCCACCCCACCCATTGCCAGAATTCTTAAAAGCTCCTTTTTCCTACAGCATTCCACATACATTAGCCATCACAGATGTTCTGGGGTTTCTCCCCCAGCCCTCATGTTATATCAAGAGCACATTCTCAAGATGACAACATCGATCCTTATTTGAATCAGCTGGAAAAGTTCATTAATTGTTACTCCACAGAAAGGAGGTGCCTGCTCTGAATGCATTTGAAGCTGGCACACATCACAGAGCCAGGAAAGAGCAACTAATTTTACTAATTACTGCCAGATGTAAAAGGCTTATGAGACATTTCCAATAATGGTTATTCCAAATTTACTTCCAAAAGGGTAATCTGTCTAGAAAAATAAATTAGTGCTATCTTATGATGTAGAAGATTGAGTAAATTTGGCATCATTTCCTTTCATTTTAAGCCTGATTGACAAATATTACAGAATCCATCTGTCTCTTGATTGCACATCCTTCCACATGCTTTCATTAGGAAACAGATCTTTTAAAAAAGACTTTGTAATTATGCTCTGACAGTTCAGTAAGTGTTATGTATTGAATTATCTTAAGAAATGCGTTCCTTAAAACCTTGAATTATCATCAATGCACTGTTTTCGTTCAACACTACAAGACAAGCCTCACACATCACCAGGGCACAAATTTCAGCTAACTGTACCCGTCAGGCCATTTCTTTCAATTTGAAGAGAACTACACGGGAAAAATTAACATCAACTACATTTGCATATAGAAATACTACTTGAGTGACAAGTTAACATTGCTACAATTTTTTAAGCTCAGCCTCCTACTACATAGGCACAGAATTTGTTCAGGGCCTGCTGCCATAAGCAGTCATAACGAAGCTTTGGAAGCGATCACAAGTTGGAGTTCAACAAAGTTTAGTGAGGATGAATCCAGGCATGGGGCAAAGTACTCCTTCACACAGTCTAATAAATAGACATTTAACTTCTAGAAAAGTATTTTGCCCAGGAGAGGTGAAAGTAGTAAAAGCACCATACTATTTTCTGCATGTGGAAGTAGAATTTAAAGGCATGTTAAATTTTAAAAAGCACTGGAAAGTAGAATCATAGAAGCAGTCCTCCACTAACAAAACAATGTTCTTTACCTGTTGATTTTCAGCTATTAACGCTCCAGGAAAAGCAAGGTGGAAAACCTCTATTGTGTTAAGACTATCTGACAGCTGTTAGGCAGGAAACAGAGCTCTAATGTGTTGGAGCTCTCACATTAATACTGTCAATAAGCTTTAAGAAATTATCCATAAAAAAAACAAACACAGTAATTTTTTTTTTTCCTATTCGCTATTTAACTCCAATCTCTAGCAAGAACTTTAAATTCAAACTCTGAGAAAGGTACACTGGAACTCCAAACTTAATGGAGTTACAGGTACCTACCTAGCCTCATGAGGCTGAATGCAGCCTGTGCCTATACTTCATGGCCTGAGATCACGTGGCATTGTACACTGCACTTAATGTTACCCTGCACGTCTTTTGATGATGAGATGTCAAGAGCATCTAAAAAATCTTTAATTCAAACTCAAGGTGTTTACCATAGGATCAAGATACAGATCCATAGACATCCTTATTATTCTAACTGAAATGCATCAAGAAGACAAGCTGCAAAACTTAAGGATGTAGTTCAAGTAAACTAGTATAACACTACAACACTGGATATTCATGTATGTAAACATATTCATATGAGGTTAACTATTAATACTACTCTTAAAACATAATAAAAGTTCTCAGTTATAAAGCTGAGGAATTAAAAACAAAGCTAACTTGAATCCACTTGAATAAGCTTACTGACACTTTAGTCAAAATTACATGCACTGATTAATAATGAAGGAACAGCTTTAAACTGAAACAATTTTTTTTTTTTCCACCCAGCAAGGACCGACAGCCACTTCTCTGCCATCTGTTACATTTAATTCTCCCACCAAGGCCAACCACCCTTCTTGTCCTTCTCTGTCTGCAGCTACACAGTGGGAAGAACAAAAACTGAGGCAGTGAGAAAGACAACATTCATCTCACAAAAAGGGGCAGTTTTTAAGCAAATAACACACTCATCCTAGCTCCAAAGCACAGCACGTTGCTAGAATAACCTGACAAAACCACCCCACAGTCTCTAACTGCTTTCACTTTTCAGTTTGTTACACTGAACGACAAGCCAAACCTCTCCAGCACAGCAGAAAAAGAGATCTGAAGTCTTTTTAAGAAAGCAATTAACACAGGCTCCTGAAGCAAATGAAGACGTCTTGCTCCCTCACTCTCCTCCGCACTGCAATAAGGCACCTGTCACACCCAGGGCGCAGAGCCCAGTCAGCAGGCCTCACCCCTGCTATTATCCTCCCCGGGCAGCATTACAACCCCGCCGCGCTCCGTGGGCACACGCCGGTTCTGACTGCCGGCTGACGCCGTCGTTTTAGAAGAAGGCCGAAGCGGAGCCCCGACGGATCCGAGGCAGGGCCGCGCGCCGAGCCCCACGCGGGCGCAGCCGAGACCGACGGGGAGGCCGCCAGGGCCCCGCAGCCCGGCGGGGCGGCCCGGCTCCCACCCGCGCGCCGCGGCTGCCGGGCCCGCAGAGGCGCCCCGCCCGAGCGAGCGACCCCGGGGAGCAGCAGGCGGAAGGCCCGGCCGCCGCGGCCCCTCCCCGCCCGTCTCGCGGCGTCGCGGGCGCGCCCCGAGCCGAGGAGGGGCCCCGCCACGAGGGACTCCCTGAGGCCGACCTTCCCGGTGCGGCGGTCCGCGCGGCCGCGCTCACCCGCTGCTCATGGTATCGGACCGCCCACGCCGACAGGAGAGACCGTCACGAGAGGCTACGGCCGGGAGCCAGCGCCCGCAGCCTGCGCCATTCAAACGGCGCCGCGCTGCATGCTGGGCCGCGCCCCGCCTCGCTCCGCCTCCGCCCGCGCCGTGCCGGAACAAAGCGCCCTCTGGCGGCCGCGCCGCAGCCGCCCACCTGCGAGGGCAGCCCTCTGCGGCGGCGCACGTCCACAGGGCAGCGGTGGCGCTGTGGTCGCTCGGGGTGGTCGACCGCCGGCCCCTCGGACGCGCGGCACTGCCCGCCCCGCGCTTCCCGCCGTTTTTTGCAGCCGCGCCTCCTGAAAAGAGGCGGGGGCGAAGGCTGGCTTCGCGGGCGTCGTGTGGAGCTGACAGCGCCGTCACTGCATTCCGGTTTTGCTCACCATAGGGAAGGCTTTCTGATGCGTAATGTTCCTCGAGTATTTTTATTGAATCGGGAACTTTGCAACATTTGATCTCTACTGTGTCCGCAGGCAGCTAATGACACAGCACGGTTACGAGCTTCAGATGCTAAAACTGGCAGAGAAGTCCACGCTGACTGCAGTGTATAGCTGAGTACAAACTGCTTTCTGCCCCTGAGGCTTGGGTGTTGTTTCAGCCCTCTGTTCGATCGGGTACGGCATCTCAGGACGTACCTGAGAAATAAAGCTGGTGGGAAAGATGGACTGTTTTGGTAATAAACAAAGGAGAAGGTGAGATTTATCCTACAACTCCTCTTACTTCATTCCTTTCCATCATAAATTCTGCTCTGAAGTGCGATATTTTGTCACACAGATGCACAACATCCCTGCACAACCGGGACCACATCTGTACCTGACACAGAGACATTTTGAATTGGCCAAAATGTTTGTTCCTAGTGTACCTTACTGACAGTTTTGGGGGAAGAAAAGATGAGCGTTGATAAATTTTTGATAAATTACTTCCTTTCTTCATTAAGTTGAGCATGACAATTTAAATCATTTTAGCCATAACTCACTTATTAAAACATCTCTTCAGTTCTTCAGTGTCTGAGTAACTGCAAGACTATGAGGATCTAATTGATGACTACATTACCCTTTAGTTCTTTTTTTTTTCTTTTTTTTATGATTCAGGCTTTAAAACAAGGTGGTCTATAACATACTGGCGCATAGCACAACACTGCTATTTGAAGAAGGCATTTGATTGATAGCACTAAAAATGAGTTATGGATACATATTCAAGCCCTCAGTTCACGCAGTGTTTCTTCTCAAAAGTTTCATAACCATTCTGTGTTTAAGAGCTGCTGCACTTTCATCATTCTCTTGAGCCAAAATGCCCTGATGCTTAAGAGTTTGTTCCAATTTCACACCTAAATTTATTTGTGCCCTGTTTATTCTTCTTGTGCCAATATTATTCTGTAGTTAAAAGCGCTCTCACTTCATATCACAGATGACAAATAGGTATCTGCTGTTGAAGAATAACTTCTCAGCAATTTTATTTTGCTAGGTTAAATGAACTAAACATTCTTAATTTCCTACTGCGGGATAGCCTTTCTATTTGCTTAATCATCCTAACATCAATTTTATGTTCATTTTTGCAGATGTTATAGCTTTGGTTCAAACTCTTTGGATGTACACTGCTTAAAATATTCATGCTTCTCTTAGTCATCTAAGCACTTCAACTACGGATATCCAGGCACATATGATCAGTAAGCTTTTTTTTTTTTTTTTTAGTGATTTATTTTATGTTCCTTTAAGAAACATGGTACCATACTGATGAAAAACTTTCTCAAAGGAAACAGATGAAATGTTGTTTTAGAGATTAGGACAATTATCACATGATGCATGCCTAAAAATGCTTGGGCTTTCCTGAACAGACTTTTGTTCTGGAGTTTATCAGGAGCATAAAGCTCCTGCTCCAAGCAGATTTTAAAAGATAAATAAGTTGAATGCTGATGATAGAAATGGTAGAAGTGTTTCCCTGTATAATCAGAAAATGGAAGAAAAAATGCTGGTTGCTCTTATGTCTGAGTGCTCCCTTTTTGTAGAACAATAGTTAAATCCAAAGATAATGGTTAATGAATTAAAACCTAAAGAAGATGAAATTGTAATTATCACATGGAGAACCTTGAGGGACTTAGAAAACACGGTATGGTTCTGTGGTGTTTGATGCCTTGTGGGAGTCTCTGTCACAAGATCTTAAAACTGAGAGACTACGGGGAATGGAAAAGGAAATAAACTAATCAAGACTTAATGTTTACTTTGTGAATCTGGTTTCTTTTTTTTTTTTAACAATGTTTTTTTGCTTGTTTTGACTTTCTCATGTTTATCAGTGATCCAAAAGCAGTGCTGATGGTATCCTCAAAAGGTCCTAAAAATGTTCTGTCCCTGTAATCTTTAAGAAGCAATTCCTTCTTCGAGATGATACTTCTCATATAAAAAAGATGTCAACATACCATCTTAACTATGTATGGCAGTTTTATATGCTGCTGGGCATAAGATACATTTGACATATTAAGTCTCTAGGAACTACGTTAGTGTTTCAGTATTGATAATTTCTATGGTTTTGTCAGTGCTAAGAGTAACAAAACGTGTTGTGTTAAATAGCATTAACTTCAGATCAATAATATTATTGTTGTAGATAAATACCAAAGACACTAATAAAAATATTCATTTTACAATGCTTTTCTCCCCAGACGGTTATATTTCAGCAAGGGTATAATCTGCTATGTATGCATTAACATACACATATATAAAATAAAAGAAAAAGAAAAATGCTAAAAATGTACCATATAAAATCCAATTTTATTTAGAAGACTGATACTATCATGAAAAATAACATACCAAAATGGATAATGGCATCATAGGGAATGTGTGTTGCATAAAAAATGAGAGACGACAAGAACTTGACAATGCATTTTCTGTGTGACATAATCAGAGACTTACAGCAACCATTATTTTTATTCAAAATCCTGAGAAATGTCATGTGATCTTATGCTTATGGTTAACATTTAAAGGGTAGAGCAACTGGTTTGTTCAGTCAAGGTTACCAAATAGAATTATATTTTGGTTCCTGGGCCTGGTTAGTAAGCAGCTCTTCTAAAAAGAAGCAGTTCTTCAAGTCCATATAGAAATATAGAAATTGAAATAAAAATGTAGAAATATAATTTCTGTTAAAGACTGAGTTCTATTTCCAGAAAGACAAGCCTTATCCTGGCTATTTAGCAATGACCACGGACTGTCATGGCTGATAATATTAACAAGTTAACCACTCTACAACTCAGTTGTAGTCATTTCCATTAAGAATTCCACTGTGTAGCTTCCAGAAAAACAGTCCTAATAACTAAGCATCCTTTTATCTTTTCTAAATATATTTCTGGACCTATTTTCTTTCAACTTAATTTTACTATTGTAACCTCTGAATTAAACAACAACGAACAAAATAACCCACCAGAGTTTCTTGTGTTAATTGAAAGGGACGGAAAACTCATATTGTTTTTTGGACCTTCATTTCCCAGCTCCGTGTTCCCTTGCATTGTTGATTTTTTTCCCATTTTTTTAGTTTTATGATTTGTATAAATTCAGTTGACAGAAGAAATACCTAATGCTGCCACTCCTGCACAGTGATAATACAGGAGTGCCTGTACACTTCCAAGATATTTTTAATGTGCTTGAAGCCTGCATGAAGAAAGCGGCACTTCTCTACTATTGCTTGTTTTAATCCTGTGATCAACATCTGCTACGCTGGCTTAAAAAATGTATTTTGCCAGAATTTTGCTTGAAGCTGAAGAAAATGTCATGCTTTTTTATAATTACTAGCAGTGAATTGAAATTTCAATTGGTTCTAGTCAAGATCTAATGAACTATTTTCAAAGAAAAAAATTATCTATGAGAGACTCCATTTTATGTAATCTACCCTGGAATACTTATTATTGATGATGTGAATAAGTTAAAGAAAAATACATTATTATTTAAAGAATGTGTCGTGATAGGAAGGTTTTTTTTGACCAATGAAGGATATTTTCAGACTTCAGAAACACAGCTGTACAAACAACAAAAAAAAACCAACAATGCAGATGATAATAAATTGCCACTGTAAGATATTCTGTAACTACGATGAATGAAGCTGTGCTAAACATGGAGTGAGGAAATAAACACAAAGGTGCCACCAAGGACTTAGGTTTGCTACCCTTTCCCCTCTCTTTCTCAAGGGCAGTTTTGTGTAGTTAATTTCGTGGTTGTCTTCTGAATGAGTTTGTGCAGCATATGGCAGTTTTGAATGGTCACATCTTCCAGAAGGCTAAAAGAGAATCTAACTAGATTCAAGTAATTATACAGTAGTAGCATTTTATAAGATCATAATACCTACTCTGAATAATGCTTTTTGTAGAAGAGAAAGAATATAGATCTAAGCACACGCACTTCTAACAGATGGAAATGTAAGCATACCTACATGTAAAAAATAAAACCTAACTTCTTTCATATTCTTATATACTTGAAGCTTATATTGATATTAAACAAACACATATGCATTCTTTAAATAAGGAATTGGATTTGAATATAAATTCAAGAATTCTTTGGATTGTTTCCTTTCAGTTACCTTGAATTTCAAATTAGGTACAATTATTGGTGTCTTCACAAATGTAGCAGTAGTTTTTTTTTCTGGCAATTTCTGGTGTGAAATAAAAATGTTGATAGTGATTTTAGACACAGCACAGAAGTCTGATGTGTCAAATATGCAGCAAAGCAAAGCGCTTGTAGTATGGCAAAGAAAATTGTAAGAATAGGATGGAGAAATGCATTGAAAAAGTCCTGTTCAGAAGTGACTCAGAGATTACAGCTGGATAGCATTATACTGATAGCTCTTTTTTTTCCTGACACCTGCAGAAGTGAGTTGCATCTTGATATTTTCTTCTTTTTGTGTTTGCATGTTCTTGTTATAATGGCTACTCCCTTTTCCAAATTACATTTCTTGCTGCCTACTTGTATTTTCTATTTTCCCCGATATTTTAACAAACTTTTACTTGCCAGCTGCTGTGTAACAAAGCGCAGTCCCAGTTGATTTTCTCATTTTTCCAGCCTGGCTTCTTTGTCATTCCTCTGAAGGTAGAAT